GCTGAAAGAGGCCACAGAAGTGAAAATATTTGTTAGTCTAGAGCCATCAAATGATTACAACACTTCACTGACAGTATGACATACTATTATTTCAGACAAAGTTGTTTGGTTTCTGAACATAAGCTTATTGCACATTCAATCAAAAAGGCAAGAAAAAGCAAGAACACTAAACTGGCTTTGCTGTTACAGTTTTTGCATTGCAAGATTGAACTAAAACCATAATGCAAAACGCTAATATATTAAATTGCTAAGATGAACCCAACAGACTTTCCTGTAGTTGTTGTTAACACATAACGGGTTCCAGTTAGTGTTTTCTTCCAATAAAAGGTAGATCCTGGTGTTTCCTCGGACTAGGAGTACTGCATTGTGCCAACTGTAAGTAGCAGCCAGTTGTTTTTCCACTAACTGTTTTCATAAGCAGTATGCCAGCAAAAAATCTTTACCAGGGACTTTTTTTGTTTTTTACATTTCAATGTCCAATTTCAAATACTAATTAATTTTAACAGTAAGGAGTGCTTGAACACCTCCTAAAATCCAAATCCCAGTAGATGCATCAAACTGGCCATTCAAAAAGAGCCAGCTCATTCTTAAGTTCTGCAGGTTGAGACTTCAGTATGTGAATTAATCATTAACAGGCATTGTCTGTGGCCTTTACGTACCTGTGGCCAGAACACTGCTAATCATTACTGTAAGTTTTCTGAGAAACAACACATGCTTTGCTTCCCTGCAAGAAAGGGCTATTTTGGGATCTGCATAACCTACTTGCCATGAGAGATCTCTGTAAGGAAGTACGCTCTTACACGTAACTGGCCCGACTCTACCCCTGGTACCGAAAGCCACGTTAGATGCCTGAGCTGTACCAGGAACAGCGCTGTAGTGTTTGATTTAAAGATCTGTTTTCCTAGCATTCCATTCCTTCAGTACGTGCTGAATCTCTAAACAATCATACACCCTCTGAGTTAGCTTTCTCTGAAAGGAAAAGGAAGAATTCTATTTTAGCAAATCTGACTTCCAATTCCCAGAAGAATACTGCTTTGTGAACTCCTACGGTCCCCGAACAGAACGTTCCACCTGAACTGTGTAACTTGTCACACTGTGCAAGACCAAAAAGCACACGAGGCCTTTATTGTCAGTTCAGTTGTAAGAGCTCCCCACGAGCTTTGCTCAGTGCAGGATGATGAAGGCGCACAGCGCACCTACAAAGCCAAATAAAGAAGCTAGAGCCGTGGTTTTGTACATGAAGAATTGGCATTAGGCAGAGTACCTGGAACTAAACTCAATGTATTCACTTCCATAGCAGGCTGCTGCCATGGCAACTGAAGTACAAGAGAAAAACATCAGCTCTTGCTGTGACTGACTCACGGCACTACACAGGCTGCTCCATCACTCAAGACAAGTTAGGATTACTTGTGTTCCTTAATTCCAAATATTGGCAATCAGATAATACTTGGAGCAACCTAGATGCCCAGTGTAGCTTAAATTCCCCAACTGTCTGAGAACTTATAAGTACCTCCTTTTTTTTCTTATTCATCAAGCTTGCAGATTCCTTCCTTCCCTGGGGGCTGTTCATGTCAATGGAGTCACTTATTATCTACTGGTGATCATAACCCCTCGGACACACTCCAGAGTGGCTGAAGGCACGGGGATGTAAAGTAACATTCCACCCTCTGGATTCCAAGGAAGCCTTTGTCCTCCCAGCACGAAATGATTGGATTCATGGATTCTGACACTAATCACTCCCAATGCCAACAGCATTTTGGATATTGTGATATGCAAGCACGTTAAGGATCAACATCTCAGCTCCTTTCATAGCTCAATGCCACATGTTTCAGTAGCCAGCTTGGTTCTATTTTAAGCCTGATCTGTGCATTAGTACCTTGTAGCAATGTCGTCGTTTTCACCACCACTGCCCCAGTATGTGTTTGGAAACCCATTTATCTTCATGTAGTGTTCTGGAGTCAGAGCAGATACACCCCCAAAAAAGGACTTATATGGCAGACTAAAAGAGAAAAAAAAAAATGCATGAATATTGAGGGCTAATACCAGTCCTCTACAAACTAACAGCATGATCCAAGTCACACATATATTAACTGCATACTTTACAGACACTGTCATGACAATGCCAAAACCCAAAAGAGCAAAACCAGTATAAATCCTCTCATGTTCCCTTTCCCCCCTCCCCAGTAGGCTGAAGTAAAGCTGGCACTGAAATTCACATCTTGTGTGAAAGGATGCAGGTATTTTGAACTAACCCATCTTCCACATAATCCAGTAATTCCCACCCTATGCTTTTATTCTGGAAGGAAAGGCAAACAGAAGCCTGCCAGTCATACGCCACCGAGCTGAGCTAACAGCGGAACAGGGCACTGCAGGCAAGGAACTGTTGAAGATTCCACGCTCAGGTCAAGAATACTCTTTTCTGGGGAAGTCATTAGTGCAAAACAAAACCAAAAAACTTCAATGTGCTCTCACAGCCCAGAAGGCCAACTGTATCCTGGGCTGCATCAAAAGCAGTGTGGCCAGCAGGTCGAGGGAGGCGATTCTGCCCCTCTACTCTGCTCTGGTGAGACCTCACCTGCAGTGCTGTTTCAAGTTCTGGGGCCCCCAACATAAGGACATGGACCTGTTAGAACTTGTCCAGAGGAGGCCACGAGGATGATCTGAGGGCTGGAGCACCTCTCCTATGAGGACAGGCTGAGAGAGTTGGGGCTGTTCAGCCTGGGGAAGAGAAGGCTCCAGGGAGACCTTATAGCAGCCTCCCAGTACCTGAAGGGGCTACAGGAAGGCTGGGGAGGAACTTTTGACAAGAACATGTAGCAATAGATCAAAGGGTAATGGCATTAAACTGGCAGAGGAGAGATTTAGATGGGATATTAGGAAGAAATTCTTTCCTGTGAGGGTGGTCAGACACTGGCACAGGTTGCCCAGAGAAGCTGTGGCTGCCCCCTCCCTGGAAGTGTTCAAGGCCAGGTTGGATGAGGCTTTGAGCAACCTGGTCTAGTGGAAGGTGTCCCTGCTGATGGCAGGGGGGTTGGAACTAGGTGAGCTTTAAGGTCTGTTCCAAACCAAACCATTCTGTGACTCTACGATTCTCTTACAGGTTGTATCTTTGACTGTCCCCATTTGTACTTTCCATGCAGACAGTGAACCACTCAGGATACACCCATCCAAAGCAAATGGAGGCACTTACGTGTACTGGAACTTATCCATGGCACTAGCCATGTGCTTGGGATAGTATTCATCGCAAACATAGAGATTATAGTCGTTCTCAGGTACCAGGTCCACATCGTGCAGGAGAAGACAGTCCCAGTCTTCATCCTTCAGGGCTTCCCGGACACCAACATTAAGCAGCTTTGCTCGGTTAAAGGTACCATTCCCCACCTGGAAAACAAAACCTACACTTCTTCACCAAAACAAAGAGAATAACTCAATTACAATTTATGATATTAAAAAAAGCCTTATTCAATTGAATGATATTGGAATGAATCAATACTGGCTGCAAATTTCATGGCCCAAACTATGAAAATTTCACCCATTCTCTTTACAATATTCTCAGCAATTGTAAACTTTGCTGTGTCAGGGGCTATATACTCTTGAGTACCTGACAAAGGCTGACTTTCAAGAGACCGGTAAGTCAATCCTCAGGTGTATGGCTGCACATCAACACTTCTGCCCTGATTACTGCCTATTAAAGCTCAGAAATGAGAAAACACACCCTGGTCAAACAAAAAGCGTCTTCTCCCTTCCACTGAACTATCAGTTTTAATTAATGAATCTGAAACTTGCTCTCTCACCACTGATCTTTCACAACACCTGTCCATGTTAGTTAAAAATGGCTGTTTGACCTGCATAGGTTGTCCTACAGCGGGGCCAACCAGATGTTCTTGATACCAACTAAAAATATCCAACTTGACTTTAATATGTAGTCTTAACAGTTGTGCTCAGTAGACATTCTGACAAGATACAGACAAACCATATTCAACTCCTGAACAGCTGAAAATACAAGTTACCACTTAGTGACAACTTTATCCCTCTAGAAGGAAAAAACCAACCAAACAAAAACCAACAGAACAAATCAATAGCAGAACGATGATCTTGAGAAGCAGTATGATATTTCAGTCATTAGCAGCCATGGAGATAGGACAGCATATAACTGACCTGCTCTAAACCCATGCATAAAAGTGTACTTCCACGTTAGAAGATCCATGTTTCTTGGTCAGAACCTAACCCTTAACTGGAAAGTTCAGCTACACCACCAGGCACATCTGATTTAGATTTACCTGCTGAATCAAGTAGATAGCGTAACTGAGCTGCTGGCGCTGCAGGAAAGGATGAATATAGTAGAGAAGATGTTGCAGGTACTTCTCCTGGTTCCTGTAGGCTACAAGGATGGCTGATTTGTAGCGGGCCAAGCAGTGAGGTGGCCTGTAGCGACCACCAGACTGGACAAGAGGATTTTTTTTAATGATCATTCTTTCATTAGGGAGCACCCTGAAGGTGATGGTTAATGGACCCACTGTAAGGAGAGAAGGAAGAAAAAAAAAAAAAGGGGAAAAAAAAGGAAAATAAGTGATGTTTCTCAGCCTTCATTCAAACCTATCAGCTTAGCTACGTATGTTTACTACTGAAGACACCAGCCCTACCCAGCACAGAACAGTTAACACCTCACACAGCTCTGCCCACATGCTGAATTCCACCACTGCCTGCTGGTCACTTTCCCAGGGCTCCACACCAAGCTCAGCACCTGGCTGGCAGGTGACCTGCCAGAGGCATCCCGAGTCCCAGCACAGGCAGCAAGTCTCACTGGGCTCTTGCACAACTCGCTTTTTCCTGGTATTGGCTCCCTACCACACAAGCAAACTTTCTATCATGTGTTGCTTAATAAACAAATGAATAAATGTATTCACTGCAAGAAGTGTTGAAAATGAATCAAGATGAACAGACATATCTGCTTTTGCTGCCCACGTGGAAGAATTCTCTAAGCCACTTTCAGAGGAGATTCAAGGACAAATGGATATTCAGCAGGTTGGGGGAGAAGTAGTTTAAAGCCTGGATGAATACAAACTCTTTAGGTTATGTTAGCTTTATCATAAACAAAGTTTGATGTTCTAATCACATGCCAAAAGGGCTGTATTTCCTCTATGATTTAATTATATATACTGTGACAAGCAGGCAGTACTTAAAAATTTTGGGAGAAGCAGATGACAGAACTGAGAAGGAAGAAGAGAAATGTCATATATTTTCAGGAACAGGTGCAGGATAGCAAAGGAAACTGCACAGGAGTTCCTCTACCTGGCACCTCAATTTTAAATGCAAAGCACATCCTGTATGTTTAACAGGTTTTACCCAATTAAAAAAAAATTCTGCATTTTTATCTGAATTCTTCCATTCTTCAGATGGAAAAAGCCTGACAAGTCCCAAGTAAGAAAGAATTGATATAAAGTGTCAATCACCATTTTAACACAAGTTTTATATTGCAGCAATATGAACAAACAAATTCTACAATTATTTAAACGCTTGTACTTCTGGATAGTGAGAAAAGGTGCCAGAACTAGCAGAAGAGTTATATTTACACACAAATCAGTCTGTCTTAATGGTTTCCAACCACTACCAACTTCTAAGGAAGTAAAACACAAATGCAGAACAAGATTAAAATCTATTACTTAAATGAACCAGGAAGAAACCTTTACCTAAATCACAATTAAAAGCTGACAATTTCAAATGACAGCTTTAGTAGGACCAACAACTCTCTGCAGGCCATGCTACCCAAAGACCAAGTATTTTTTTGCACCAGAAGTCTGTAAGGCAAGTTGTTGGTTTTTGGTTTGTTCTCTTGTTGTTGGGGTTTGTTTTTGTTTTTAAATAGCTATAAATAATTTTTCTTTTTAATCCAATGTCTGTCTTGAAGCAACTTTTTGGTATCTTCACACTCCCTCTTAAACCACTGAAATAAATTATTCTCTAAAAAAACCCCTCTGATAATGAAGCCCGAGAGTCAGCACAAGTATTTCAGTGTGGTGTTTAGTAGCTTTCATTTCAGCAGGGAGGGGTACAGGTGTGCCTGAATTCTAATTAAATATTTAAGCAGGTGAGTCCAGAAGATACTTCTTCCAGCTCATCCTACATTCAGGTCTCTGCTACAATTCTAAGAAAAAAATAAAGAATTGAGCCTGCATTCACCCACATCCTGTTTAACTGACACAGAAGGAAGCAACATCCCTCCATTGTTTTGTGGGGGGAGTGTTTCAGGTGGTTTTGTGGGGTTTTTTTGAGCACTAACAAGGGTTAGGGCCTAAATTTGGCATAACATTCAAGCTGTCCATTCAGATCTGGGCAAGATTTTGCTAGTATGTGGAAGTTGATATTCCTCACATTTCTGATGGGCAAACCTGTATTTCTTTTTCCTCCTCAAGGAACACACAAAACAGTATTTCCTGAAGGTCGGTCTGAACAGCCACTGATCCCACTCCTCACGCTGTCAGAAAGGTCTGTCTAGCCACTATGAATCCCATTTCACAGCTGGGTTTTGTTGGTTGGTTGGTCTTTGTTTGTTTTTAAAAGGAAAACCTGAATTTTGCTTGTCAGCAAGACTGTACAATAGCTGACTCTTAACTATTACTTTTCAATCCTTCCCTAAGTATCTCAAACACAGGGGGAATTTGATTTTGACTGGGTTACCCTGAGTAGGCAAATGGAGCTGCCATACCTTTGTTCCTGAAACAGAAGAGCAGTTCTTCAGAGAATCATGCTGTGGGCCCACGAATCTAGGTCACAATGACTGTTAGGATTTTATGGTGTTATCACCTACTATCTATGCAAAGAAGTTTCCTGTTCTGCCTTTAAGACCACCACATTTCAGACCAATATTGTTTTTAACCTGCAATTTATGTTGCTTTTTAGATTTATGAACTCCCTGATTATCAGATCTTATAACTAAAGCACCATTCACCACTGATTTGATGACACCTGGAGCTTGCTAAAGAAATTGTTATATTCAGATTGAATTTCAACTCCAGAATCATTGCTCCAAGGAAAACTTAAGAAAGGGAATCAATCCCTTTTGTTCTCCCACAAAGGCAGGATTTTGTTTTCTATAACACAATTGGGGCTCAGTGTATTGCAGAGTTAAGATTCTCTAGCGATAATCCTGAAATTCAAAAAAATCAAATATAAATTTGGACATAAGGGTATGAGTAAGATGCACAATAGTTTATTTCACTCCTGTTGTCTAATTCCACACCCAAGCATATAATTCATATGGGTAATATCTGCATTTTTCAGGTTTTTCAAGATGTCATGTTCTCCTGAGCTACCTGGCTCCATGCCTCAGCTCATCTTAGAAACTCAATCTAGTATATGCCAAAGAAACACAAAAAAAGAAGTTGAAGCCTGTGACTTCAGACTCTGGCTGCCCTACAGCTACAAGCTAAACTCTGGCTCTCAGGTCTCCTTCCCACCCAACTAACAACAGGTTAATGCACCATAACCCAATTAAATCCCAGATGCAAACAGAGCACTTGCAGGCTGGCCCAAGTAGGGAAAAACAAAACTGCTAAAGCGCAGCCCTGGGGAAGGAGGAAAAGCCCATCTCAGACACGCCAGAGAGCAGAGGGTCCCAATTCAGACAATGTACAAAACCAACACCCCAAAGTGTCCAAGCAGCTTCTCCACCGCCCGATTCCCAACCTCCTTCTGTGCCAGTGTCATCACCCGGGGGCTGTTTAATTAACTCTACAGTCTCATATTAAAACTCACAATTCCCTGTCTGTGTCGTTAGCTGGTGCCAGTGACAGCACACTCCCCGCTTGCTTTACTTTCGAGGCAACACACTGGGATGATCAGGGGGATTTATTGATTTTGACCAGATCTATCCCATCTTAAGAAAGAAACAACATGACTTCTAAACTCCTTGCTGTGTATTTAGAGTTAGCAGCTATAATTACTGAGTTCAAACAGAATAAGCATAACCTACAGAAACTAAACCAATGGGAACAGCAGCACGGATAAAGATCTCACTAAGAGAGAGCGTGTGTGTGTGCAGCACCACAAATTACATTAACAGAGTCTTATTTGTATAATTCCACCATGGTTTGAATGAAAGAAAGAAAAAAAAAACCCAAAACAACAGACCAATAGCCTTAATTTAAGCACCAGTTTCTAATGACAGAATGCAAGGCTTCCTCAACTGCAGCTGAAAATAAACCTCAGCATTACCACCTTTTTACTTCTCTTTAAATCCAAGAGAAGAAACTCTAGAAGCAGAGTGCTCACTGGGAAATGCAGCAGGAGCTACTCATCACCACAACGGATGGTCACACTCACAAAAAGGTTCTGACAAATGACAGTGAAAGGGAGTAACTGCTGTAAGAAGGGCTTGGAAAGAAATTCTTCCATAGCACCAGCGTATTTAAAACAGCAGAGTTACAGACAGAACTTTCAGCTATTAAAGTCCTCAAGGGCCAAACCAACTTGTTCAGCATATACCTCGTGTGAAGTGAGGTAACTCTTTAAAAAACAAACCAAACCTGAGTCTTCTAGCATCAAGCTTCTTCCTGGTAAGGAGAAAAGATGAACTGAAACAAATAACACATCTTGCATGCAATGTGAGAAAGTCAGAGTTTGAATTTAAATGCTACTTTGTTAAGTTTGAGTAAGCACAACTCTTAGCTCTTTCCAAAAACAAAGGAGGAAAAAACAGGTAACTGGTTATTTGTGTAGAAACTTAAACCTTTAAAGCAACTTGAGTAATTTATTCACCATATTAATAAAGACATTGAATATCTACCACAAAGCTTGCCAAGTTGTCAGTCACAAAAGGTTCAATGGAAACCACAAAGTGTTAAAAAAATAACATTAGTCAGCACTAGTCTAGTTCCTCCAAGGCAGAGGTGTTCAGCAACTATACTTTAATTCTTACTCCACAGCCCTGGAAGAACTGAGATGCTGGAGATTCAAGAGGTAGGAAAAGACAGATGAGCTGCAAGCTGATCTTACAAACAGTTATTGAAAGGATCCACTACATACATAAGTGTAAAAAGTGCTGCACTTCATGAAAGCCCTGATGCAGAAACCATTTGGCATTCTTCCAGTTACTTTAACACGCTTTGGAGTGGACACAGTGACTTATTACCAGCTCTGAACTGGAGACTACAGTCCTCCAGAATTGATCTGAAATCTCATTTAATGCAGTTTATGAAATTAATATTAAAAGGTACCATTCTCTCTGATATAACGCTTCCAAGAGAGATCAGTCCCCTGAGAGAAGATGGTAACAACCAATCAAGACATTTATAAAGTATTTCTGTATCTATTCCTATATGCCCATCACATACAAACAAAGGGCAACTACCTTGCAGAGCAGCATGCGATTCTTGGGTAAAGAACAAACAGCAGAGTGCTCCTTTTTCTTAAGCTGAGTCTGTATCAATACTCCAAATGATTTATGTTTCACAGAAACAAGGCTTCGTATGCTTAATGTTTATGCAGCAAAATTTCCACAATCACTTTGCCTCATATTTCTTTTTTCCCCCAGTCAACTTTACTGTTTGTTTCTATCTATAATTAACATTATGTTTCCATTTTAGCTCTGAAGCACAACATGCAAACCAACCCCCCCTATTCTCAGCATTCTCAGGGATGGGCAGAGAAGAGGTCTTAAAAAGATTTCACAGTTCTAAGAGCATTGATTAGTGTAATTTTACTCTGCATCATCACCACTCTTGCTTATCTGATGGCTTGCATGCAAGCAGGCTGCAGAGAACTGCATCTAGTTCTGGTTTTCTGTTTTCCTTTTTTTTTTTTTCTTTTTTCTTGAGACCAAACCTTTCTCATTTGACTCTTCTCAGGACAGTGGATTCTCGACAGCAGTGGAGACAAGCAGGGTGCAGGCATTTTTCTGCTGTGCTTTTTAAAATAAAACAATTAAGTTGGAAACACAGAATTGTAGTTTCCCAAAAGACTGATGGGCTGTAACTAGTGATGAACAGAGACTACACTAAGACCATTACAGCTGGCACCTGTGCAAAAAAGGCTCTGTACTGTTAGTATTTCAGTATTCACTTAGTAGAGCTACAGAAGATGCTGAAGCATATACCCAAAAGTTATCATACAATTTTATCGTACAGACTGTATTTCATTTAACTGCAGAAACAAAGGAAGGAAGAAAACTTCCCCAAAGAACAAGCATCATTACCAAAACTGCAGTCTAAAAAATCTTATCCAAAGCATCCCAGCAGAGTGCTTCAACCTCAGTAAGCAACTCCACACAAGAGTAATCACAGCACTAGCTCTAGCTTTCAACAACACTTCCACCTGTGAACTTGCAAGGGCAGCCATTTGCTCTTACTGTGCTCCACATGCTTTCCTAGAACAGCAGGGGAACTACTAAATAGTGCTCCAAGACTAGTTATGTGCAAGACTCGGATACACAGAAACCTGTGCAGGATGGAAAAACAGACAAGGGAAACTTGCTCCATGGTACCCTACGAAGTAGGCATCCCCCAAACCAGCTGTAAGCGTGTGCTTACAGATCTCACCAACTCCTGTCTGGCTGAGTGGAACTGATTCACTATTACCAGACACACACCAGTACCAACACACTTGTTTTATGGCTTTGACTTTGTATTTACTTAAAAGTTTTTCAACTGTTTTACTACTGCAGTAGCTCGATTAATGCTGCCTCCAGCAGCTCTGATTTGGTCCCACTGTAAATAAAAATTAACCCGTGACCAGACTTTTAACTCTAAAGGAGATGTTTCTAAGCCTAAAGGATGCATAGCAATCAGAGGCCAAAAAGATAATCATGAAGAGCAAGTTGCTAAGCTAAATTCTCATATAAACAATATTTAAAGCCAACTTAATACATTTATATTGAACTACAGGCTTGATAGAAGGCTGAGATAAAGATTCCAGGAGTTACAGCGAGTCAGAGGTCAAAATTATGCAGTTATCAAAGCGCAGTCGTTGGCACATTTTATACAGGACTGCCAAGGGAAAAAAAATAATTAAAAAAATGTGTTACTAGGTATTAACACCATGCACTGTTTTCACTCTTGTTCTACAATCTCTATGTAGCCAAATCCTTATGACTAGAAGTTTTTAGATCAGTATAATACTTTCCCTTGTATAACCAATACAAATGAGTTAATTAACACAAGAAAGCTTTGTCAGTGTAAGTATGATGCCAGTACAGCACTTTTAAGAGTGGAAAAGTTTTAAAAACATACAACTTACAAAGTGTTCAGCATTATCACCTACCAAAGCAGTTATTTCAAACACTGTAGGTTCATACCTACCAAATATCGGTGACTGTGCCGAGCAGTATGGCATCGTTTCTTCATTAGGAGCCTGGGTAAACAAGCTGAGGTTTGTATACACATCGTGAGTTTTTGAGTAATCTAGAACCTGATGCGAGTCCAAAAACCCACGGAACACATTGGAAGGTCCACCTCGGTACAGTATCAGGATAAATATTGCTTGGAAGACAAACAGAAACAGCAGAAAACAAGGATTTTCGACACGGGAGAGGGACATAGTTTTTTAGCCCATGCTCTGGAATCAGACCGGTGAGGAGTTTAAGTGCTTTCCAGCGCTCAGGGCTGCATCGTTGTGCCGGGAAGACCTCGACCTCCTCCACCTCCACCTCCTCCTCTTCCAACTTTCTGAGGCGGCAGCCTGCTCTTCTAGCGGGGCTTCGTCAGGTCGCTCCGAGCCAAACCTCCCCTTCCCGCTGCAAGGCGGAATGAAGGGGAGAAAAAGCTGTTCCAGCCCACCCAGAGCAGAAGACCACGGGGAGCAGCAGCACCTGAGCCGGGCAGCCAGCGGCACCGGCGCAGCGGCCGCCCTCCCTCCTTCCCACACCCTCACGCCT